AATAAAAAAACTTATTTGTGTATAAATATGTTCTCTACCCAAAACTCCTCAAGTAGCAGTTTTAGCTTCATCTGGTTCAAATTTTGCGATTAAAAATCCTATTAATCACCTTTTGCTGCCCAATAATTAATCATTTAATCCAAAAATAATCTACAGATCATCTATAATGTATTGATAAGTCAACTTTTCTCATTTTGATATTAGAAGTATATTTTTTAGCTGCAGATTCATAATTTGCTACAAGTTATCAAGCATTCACTAAATTAATGCTTTGTTGTTGCATTTAGGCAGTAAAATATTTTTTTATTTAAAAAGGAATTAAATTTAGATTTTTAAATGTATTTCTAATATTGCATTAAAAATCAGCAAAATGGTCCAATTGTTTTTATCCGACAAACCAGTTAATCGTCAGAATAACCAGTAGAATAATCGATAACTGCAGGCCTCGGTTCGATCTTTACCTTGGCGTGTTTCTGTGTCCAGGTGTATCGAGGTCACAGCGGCCTGGTTCGCTCCATCAGCGTGTCGCCATCAGGACAGTGGCTCGTTTCAGGTAACAACTCCTCCTGTCAAACAAAATCATACAGCATTAATTATTAAAGCCTTAATGTTGTCTGTAACGTGCTATTGTTTGGATTTTGATGCATTTGTATTCATTTCATTTTATTTGTGTAGAACAGACGATGAAATGTGACAGAAATAAAACAGTAATAAGGCAAATAGTCACACCAAATGACGTCCAAGTTTTAGGTTAAAATGTAAAAGATCTTATGATTTCCTGTTTCTCTCAAACATACGAACATACAGTTATCCAAGTTCACCCTCACCAGACAAAACTTTAAAGTATTCTGACATTAAGTGATGCAAACTTTTGGTAAAAATCCATCATTTTTTAATGACGAGCCTAGTAAAATGAAAATGTGCATGCTGACTGAACTATATATTCTTGAATAAATGAGTCGCTTGCTGTGTCTGCAGGCAGTGACGACGGCTCGGTCCGGCTGTGGGAGGTGTGTTCGTCTCGCTGCCTGAAGACGGTCCAGGTGGGCGGAGCCGTGAAGAGCGTTGCCTGGAACCCGAACCCGTCGCTCTGCCTCGTGGCTGTCACTGTGTAAGCGTCTCTGTTTTCAGAGCGTAAAGACGCTCCGTCTGATCCCCTACGCGTCTCACAAGAGCTGGATAATTTGGCTGAAAAAATGTAGCACGATACAAGCGCTTCGTGTCAGTCGATATTGATAGTTATTGATTAGTTTTTTTGTTTTAAATATCTGAAATACTGACAAACTATTGATGTGACCTTTCCTGTTTTATCCAGTTTTCACTCCACAACGTTGTTTATTTTTAAGCAGTTTTGAGGCACAGTGGTGAAACCTTAAACTGCTGCTGCGCCAGTTACTCAGCAGACTGTTGCTAGGTAACCATAGAATGAGTGAGTTGCTAGGTAACCATAGAATGAGTGAGTTGCTAGGTAACCATAGAATGAGTGAGTTGCTAGGTAACCACACACAGAGAGAGAGAGAGTTAGTTGATTTCACCAACTTTGCTGAGCTGGCAGTGAGAGGTTAAGCAGCTAAAACCTTTCCTCTGCCTACATCCCCCAGAATGCTTTGCGTTTCTGGATTGAAATCAGTGAAATTATTGAATATTCTATCAGACATTGCATATGGCGATATACTTTGTTATTGATTTATTGTCCAGCCCTATGTCTCACATCTTGTTCTTGTTGGTTCTTTTAGGGACTCTGCGGTGTTGATCTTGTCTCCAGCTTTGGCCGATAAACAGGTCATCTCAGCGTCGGAGAGGCTTCTCTCTGCCCAGCAGGAGGAAGGGCCCTCTGAAGGGTCTCAGCCTGTAGTTTGGTCAGAAATGGAGGGGGAGGAGCTAAATCAGGGCATCCGCCTCAAAATCCAACATCCCAAGGTGAGATGATTCCCATGAATAGATTTAAAACCATGATTCAAAGCTGCAGTATGTAACATTGTGATGACAGTGTGGTATGAGATTGATGGTCTGCGAAAAAAATCAAGCTCCTGTGCATTCTCCAACAGCCAATCAGAGCCAGGAGGTGGGTCTTAACACTCCTATGAATGCTAAAGCTAGTTAGCATAACCACCAATAACAGCAGATAAATAGTTTTCCTGTAATGGCAAGTTGTTTGTTCACATTAAGTAGTGAGTACATGAGCATGATTGACAGCGCCTAGACCCGCCTCCTGGCTCTGATTGGTTGTTTTTGGTCTGTGTCATATTAAACTGTGACAATATACTGAAATTTCAACAAATATGTAAAAACAACATTTTTAGATAAAAGTCGCATACTGCAGCTTTAAAGGGAACTAACAGAGAGAATGTGTCTCCTCAGCCGGTCCACCAGGTGACGTGGCACAGCAAAGGAGACTACCTGGCGTCGGTGATGCCGGACCACTCCAGCCACATGCAGGTGTTCATCCACCAGCTGAGCCGTCGGCGGAGCCAGAACCCCTTCAGGAGGAACAAAGGCCTGGTCCAGGCCGTGTCCTTCCACCCCATCAGGCCCTATTTCTTTGTGGCGACGCAGCGGTCGGTCCGGATCTACAACCTGGTGAAGCAGGACATGACCAAGAAGCTCCAGGCCAACTCCAAGTGGATCTCCAGCATCGCCGTTCACTCTGGAGGTAGGTGGACGGGTTCTGTTCAGTCCAGTGTCACTGCTGGGGGCAGAGCCTGAGTCTCACCTGTCTGTCTGCAGGTGATCATGTGATCTGTGGGAGCTACGACTGCAGGCTGAGCTGGTTCGACCTCGACCTTTCAACCAAACCGTACAAGATGCTGCGGTACGTTATTATCGCTAATGATTTAGGCATTAATGAACAAATTCATCTCAATAATTTAAGGTTTTTCATTTTAAGGGACTTGTTAGTTAACTATATATAATATTACTTTAGCTCAGAATTAAAAATGAATTAAACACACTGACACATTTCAGGTTTTTGTTTGTGATAGTTACGTTTTCACAAAGTTTTACTAATACTTTCAATTCAGTTCATTTTATTTATACAGCACCAGTTCACAACAAATGTCGTCTGAAGACACTTTACAAAAATAATTCCAGCTGAATCATGCATTGATTCAGAAAACTAGAATCATACATGATTCTAGTTTTCTAACAGTAAATTACATGACATTGAGTCACTCTTTTTTTTTTTTAGCTGCAGGTGCATCTTTTTCCACAAATGATCAATCGTACAATAAAGGATCAGAATAAAATACAATTTATTATGATTTGCACACGGATACATTGTAGGACAATCGCATTGGTATTTTTGTGTGTTTAACTCAATATTAGTAGAGCTTAAACAATAAATATATAAATATACAAAGCAAACAAGCATTTAAAATATGCTTTATGCTTCTGTGTATAAATAATTAATACACAGAGGCTTAATGTATTTTTTTAAATGCTTGTTTGCTTTTATCTTTCCATTTTATCTTATGTATATTTAGTCTCTATTTTAAAAACAAACTTCTGATACATTATTGCTATTTAGGCAATAAAATGTTTTTGGTTTTATTTCAAAGGAAATTGAACATTTATTTGCACTTTTATGCATTTCTAATGTTGCATAAGTTGAAGTATGTTAAATAAAAAACCAGCAGAATGTCTAATTACCAAATTAGTTATAAAAAAAAAAACAATTGAATAGTCTGTTACTAGAATAAATATTAGCACAGCTCTAATTATAAACATTTTGGGTTTATTTAACTTTAAGTTATTTAAGTTTATCTGAATTATCAGATATAAAACATTTGAAATGTATTACCGTGCGTAAGGAATTCATGTATATAAATAGAAGTTTGACTGAATGGTTTAATTGTAGGTTTTATATTTTGTTTTGGTGTTTTTGTATATACTGAGCGCTTTGGTTTCTTCCTGCCTGTCAGGCATCACAAGAAGGCGGTGAGGAGTGTGGCGTACCACAGAGGTTACCCGCTGTTCGCCTCGGCATCAGACGACGGATCGGTCATCGTCTGCCATGGAACCGTCTACAAGTAACGCCTCCGCCTGCTCACATGCCACACACCTGTTTAAAGATCAATATGTTTCAGCTTTTCTTTTCTCTTCCAGCGATCTGCTGCAGAACCCGCTGATCGTCCCAGTCAAAGTTCTCCGGGGTCATGTGATCACGCATGACCTCGGCGTCCTGGACGTGACCTTTCACCCCACACAGCCCTGGGTGTTCTCGTCCGGCGCCGACGCCACCATCAGACTCTTCACCTGAGAACCAGCCCTTTATTTCAGAGGCGGGGATCTCTTCCGCCCTACTGTATCCTAGCAACCAGATCTGACTGGTTGCTAGGATACAGCAGTCAAGAGGTCCTTTCCTGTAGTTTTTGTGTTCGTTTGTACTCAATAAAATATAACATTCTTACTCTTCATGTTCAGTTGTTTTAATCTGCAGAAAAATCTGTTTTGAACCACCGAAACAGATTCAGTGGGGTTTAAAACAAATCAGAACCAATCCACCATTTTGTTTAACTGTTCAGTTCTGACCCTTATCGGAGCAAATCAATTTACTGACTGAATGAAAATTATTCAACAAAAGGAACCCACATTTATTGGGATCTTTGACAGTTTAGTGCAGAAAACTAGTTATTAATGTTAATATTTAATATCCTAAGGTACAAAGTGTTATAGCAGTCTGGTGATTTTGGGTTTCGTTTTGTTTTACTAAAGGCAGCTTTTTAAAAAAAATGGAAATAGAGTTCAGATCCCTTTTTATATTATTTACAGTATATGTGCTTTTTTGGATTGCTTTATCACATGTATAAGAAAATGTGCTCATTTAAAAGAAATGTTTCTATTAAAATCTAAAAATAGGAATAAAAATATTGCTCTTTAAAATTTCAAACAGGTTTCCTGTAGTAAAATGTATTTTTTTGTTGACTGAAGGAATAAATGCCTTTGGATTGTAAAGCTTGTAAACCTCAGTTAGGAACTTTTAGTTTGAAAGTTTTATGTGAAGTCGCAGCTTGTTTCCGGCGGACCTTTTCTGGTGTAACACCAGACCATGACGACTGTACACAGAATCACACCGATCCGCGAAAACTGTGTTTACACCAGTTGTTATTGGTAAATATGATTAAAACAACCGCTATACTTTAAAAATAGATCGCTTGCATGTTGATATAGTTGATTGTGCTTTATGCTAGTGCTAATTGGGGGATTGATATTCGAATGTAAATAAGTATAAAGGACATAAACAAGTGTTGGTTTTAAATAAACAAATCAATTAATATCCGAGCTGTAGTTAACTTATTTTGTAATGTAATCTTTCTTATCAGGTCTAAAAAACTGATGCTTTTTGTATTTTGGTGTATTTTCTGCACCTTTTACAGGTTTATTTAAAAACGTGCTGAACTGTTGTCCTCTAGGTGTCATTATTTCATTAGCCTGGATTTTCCTGTTGATTTTCGTGTTTTCTGTTCTTGTTTTGCAGTGAAGAAAATGTGTGGAAGCTGTGCGAGTTTGTTCAGAAAGAGAGAACTGCTCCACTGGAACAGCTGTTCGTCGTTTTTATCTCTAATGACAAACGGATGGTGAGAAGCTCGGGATAAATATGAACCTCTACTAATACTGAATGTAGATTCCTTATTAGCCAGTTAGTGAGAGACTTGTTGAGATTAAAGCAATATTTATCCAGTTATCAACAACTGTATTTACTTTCTTGTAATTATTATATAAAATTAATAAGATTGTGATTATTTGAAGACTTTCTGTTGATATTCTAACTTTTGTCACTCGTAAGAAGTATAGAGATCAGGGTTTTTGTTTTGTTTTTTTTACATTTACTAACATTACTGGCAAGGACAAGCAAGTGTTTTTTTTTTTAATGCTAATAAATATCTGAAAAATGTGGGGGGCAGATTGTAGAACCACCATCTGCAGGAGATGGTTCCTTTTTTTAAATACTGAAAAACATCACAATTGAAGCTGGGTGTGAATATTTTTCCAAGCCACCTTTTAGGTTAGATTTCATAACAAAACCCTAAAAATGTTAATTTAATACAGCTCATAAAGAAACATATGTTGATCATAGTGCTGTACAATTCATTCAACTAAATAAAGCAAGATATCAATAAGAAAAAAATGAATAGTCCACATCATTGAACCCCATTGAAAACCACCTGGTTATTCCACCAAATACTGATTTCTGAACTCTTCCTGAGTTAAAACATTAGTTTGTAATTTCAAAATGAATATGAACTTGTTTTCTTTGCATTATTTGAGGTGTGTGTCTTTTTTTTTATTTTGATAATTTCTCATTTTCTGCAGATAAATTCTAAATTATTACTTGGAAATTCTGAGACATGTCAATGTTGATTGTACTCAAACATATATACGTTAGTATATACTAATAAAAAGTAAAGTGAGAGAAACTGATCATTTTAAGTGGTCTTTTACTTTTCCAGAGCTGTATATTGAAAACTAAAGTAAAAACAAACTACAAATATTCTCCATACCTGTCATTATAAAAGACTCAAACTGAATGAACGCCAAAGAATAAAAAATGGATCTTGAGCAATTTTTTAATATAATTTTTGACTGTCTCGGTCCTGAAACTTTTAGAGCAGCTGATTTTCCTCTGAAGCTGATGATGTTCTCTGTTTTCCCTCAGATTCCTCTGTGGAAGCAGAAATCCGGACATGGCGACCAGCCTGTGATCTGGGTCTGTTTCCTCCACATCTTAATCCCTGACTGATGATGCTGTTTTGTTTTGGCGTCATTAACTGCGTCTCTGCGTGTTTCAGGACTACCATGTGATCCTGCTTCAGGTGCGCCCTCAGTCGGACTCTCTGGTTTACGATCTGGACTCGGTGTTGTCGTTTCCCTGTAGCCTGCGGCTCTACGGAGCCATGGCCTTCCGCTCGGACCGCCACATCCGACCCGAGTACCACAGGTAACCTGCTGTTATAAATTCCCTAGTATTACTGTCTGTTTTTGTTAAATACTGGTGTAAAAAATAAATAGAGTTTTACATCAGGCGCTTGTTGGGCAGCTAAGGGGTCCTTAGGAAATTATATAAGAAGCAGTTATTCTTCCATTACGTTCACACTGTTTGTGATTAAAGTGGGTCATAACGATCCGTTAACGATCGCTAAATATCGCTTTGGTATGCTAATGAGGAGCTGTATTTCAAAGCTAATTGCAGTTAATGTTTCTTTGCTACTTGTTTTAATTGTTCTCATTTCTGCGCTAATATAAGCAAAGGGTTACCTTTGTCATGTCATGCTGGACGAAGTTTCTAAATCTAACTGGCAGCCAATCAGAAAGATTAGCACAGTAAATTACATTTCAATACATTATTTTAACATATACAATGATTGAAAAATATATTTGATTTTATGAAAAAAAAAATTTTTTTTAAAAAAAAGCAAAAATATTTGAAATTTTTAAATTTCTTCTATTTTTTGAGCCCCGCTAGTATACCTTGGTGGCCCTCACTTTGAAAAGCACTGGGCTAGCTTTCCAGCTTAGAGGCATTCACAACTAACAAACAGTACAGGGAATTTATAAGAGCAATTAGGAAGATGAAGGTCACACATCTCTGATGATGTCACAGTAATGTCTGCTGGTGTCTGTGACAGGAAGCTGCGTGTGATTCCTGCTGACAGCTTCCTGTTGAACTTTGCGTCTGATCGATCTCACATGAGGAACCCTGATGGAACCTGGAAGATGCCTCCTCCTCTGTACACCCCCATCCAGACGGCAGGTAGAAGGTCTTCCTTCTGGGTTTATTTATGTTTTGAATAGAGATGCAGCATGAAGCATAATGTCAAAACTTTAGTTTGACATATTCAAGAAAGTTGGTGGAAGTATAAACTTATCAATACTCCCACTCTTTACATATGTATTTAGATTTACTACATGTATAATCCGTATATATAAGAACTAAACCCGTATTTAATAGTTAAGCCATCAATTTAGTGTCTAATTAATTTTAATTACAGTGGCAAAAACAATCATTACTACTTTAAATATCACCAAAAGAAAAACTAGCATCAATAACAAAAACAATAACTGAACAATTTTATACACTATATCTAACAATAATTATATGTTTATAAAATAATTTTAACAGTTTTATGTTTGGACAAGTTTTATTGTCCAAACATAACTTACTGATGCACTAAAGTTTTTTTCTAATATTTCTGAATTTGCATATTTTAAATAGGAAATTTGCTCCTTAGTCTTAAATAGTTTTTGAAGGTTTTTTCAGTAATTTTTTATTTTTGGCTTTGTACAAAATTGAAGTCGTCTATAGTTTCATTATGTCAATAAATTTAAATAATTCAGGTTTTACAAAAACCATGTTAATAAATATCCCACCTTATAGATGTTTTATTTCTCTTTTTTCTGTAGTTAAGTTTTGTACTTATTGCTCCAGATCTCTACACGGTCACTTGCGTGTTTTCTGTGATGATGATGATGATGATGATGATGATGATGATGTCACTGGTTTGACGCCTCTCCTCCTCAGAGAGTCAGATGAACCTGGATGACTTCATCAGTATGAGCCCCGCTGACGGCTGGGGAACCGTCTACAGTCTGGATCACTTCCTGCTCACATACACTGGAAACCCGTCCACAGCATCGTCTTCACCTTGATCTTCCTCAACGCCACTAGCAGCAGCAGATGTGGTTTCATGACATTGTTGCTTCAGGTGGTTCAGAATCAACGGTTGTGTTGGACTTTTATCCTGGTTCTGATGTCGGATCCTTTAGTTTTTTCTAACATTGTCAGATATTTGACCTGTGGATCATTGTCTGAGCAATAAAAACATTTTTTATAATCCTTGAACATGTTGACATTAAAATCAGAGGCTGAGGAAAACAACTTTACACTCTGTCCTCATCAGGCTAGTTGGAAAAAGCACAACGTCAGTAAAACATTGATTAAGAAACAAAAAAGGGTTTCATTTAATCAACATTAGATTTAAAAAAAAGTGGTTGTTTATTTTTTAGGGTCAGGCTTTAGACTTCCATATACATCTAAAACTGTTTGAAACTATTAGTTTTTCTCCTGCCTCAATCAGTTATTAATGACTCAAACTGGTGCATCTCAACATAAAAGTATAAAAGAGTTGATTTAGTCTACTCTATAAAAGTTTTATTTCAACTTTTATTTGAAATAAAGGTTCAAAACTGAACTTTTGAACCTTTATTTAGTTCAAAAGTGAAACTCAGATTCACCAGATAGAGTAAAATAATTAAAGGGAGCCTCGTATGCTAAATTCCCATTTTGCACATTTCTGTACTTCCATTTGAGTTTCTACTGCTACTAAAAACAACCCAAAGGCTTAAAAAGACAATTAGCCATTTTTTAGTTTTATTTCTTTAAATCATTTTTCAGTGAATGTCACTGCAGGGGTGTCCAAAGTGTGGCGTTAGGGCCATTTGTGGCTCTTAAAATGATTTTGATCAGCCCCAGAATACAAGTCAAGAATGGTAAAAACAATTGATAACCCCCCATAAATTCTAAATTGCAACAATCTGAAGCCCTTTTTTATGTTTTGGACCTTTAATGATGTACAGATTTAAATTGAGCAAGTAAAATATACAAGCAAACAAAAAAATCACAATACATTAATTCTTGCCTTTCTGATTTAATGAGTTTTGTGGCCTCCAAATGGTTTAAATTAGCCAGATTTGGTTCCTGGGACTAAAAGTTTGTGTTGCACACTTAATTAGTCAATTTGTTTTCCTACAGTCAAACAGAAGAATTACATTTAAATAAGAAAAGGGAGAGGATGTAATTATTTCAAATGTCCATTCGGTCACATTTGTGCACCGACCTAAGATGTCGCTGAGGCCCTCTACTGGATGTACGAAACATCTCCAACAAGATGAGAAAGTGTTTTGCTGTTTTGGGTCATTATCCCATGAAAGACCTATGAAATGCAGCTGTAACTGGTCGGCCCATTTCTCCCCAGAATGCCTGGCCAGTTTAATACAGATTGAAAACACCCTGAGTCGGCTGCAGCAAAGCAGCCAGAACGAAACCTTCCTTCATGCTTCACAGTCAGGACAGTGGCCTTTTCCTGGTCTGCTTCATTCATTCTCTGAACAAAGAGCTGAAAAGCTTAAGTTTTGTGTCACATGTCCAAAAGACTTTCTCCAGAAAGCTTCACGGCATTGTGGTTCAGTCCAGCCTCACGTTTTATGATTTGATTTGCTCCCATTAAGTCCAATTAGGCTGAAACAACAATGGATGGTGCAAACTGACTTTAAGGTATCTTGCTCTCAACTTTAATTTCTCTGGAGGTCGTTCTGTACTCAGCTTTACCTAAACAATAGTTGGGTAAATAAACATTTGCTTATTTAAATACCAGGATAAGTCCACGTCTGAGTCATTTATTCTTCTGATTTAACCCAGGTAAGCCAAAACAGACATTTGTATTTCTGTGTTCAGAAAGGAAATAAGTTGAGCCTCGTATTCATGAATTCGGTCCCGGTCTAACTTGTTCTGCAGCAGAACCACTTGCTAAAACCAGATGGGTTGGATTAATTTTCCTGGAAATGTGGAGGGTACATTTAATCAGGAAGAAGAAAAGGGAGCTGATCGACTCTACCCTCGGTACTACAAAAGCTTTGCTCAGTAAGTTCTTTTAAATGAGGATCTGTACTGTGAACTACGGTTTATTTTTGGAAATTAATGCCAAGGTGGTTATGCTTGTTAACTTGGGTTGATCTGCAAATTGTTTATTGAATTGGAGGAAAGTTTAAATAACTTGGGTTAGAGTATAACTAGATAATGTTAGTGTATTTGTTGTTTAATCAAGAAATTAAAGTTATCTATATTCAATAAATGCACAATAATAAAAGCTCATGTTAAAATTAGCAGAGTTCAGCCTTGAAAAGCCTTGAAAAGTCTGATTTATTAATAATTTAACCTCGATTCATCTGATCTTTATCAATTTTCAGCAGGATGTTTTGAACTATTTCAGGTCAAAATGTCTCTTTTTAGAGGAATAATGAGTGGAAACAGCAACTCTGAACCCGATGAAGGAACAGGAGGAAGTTGGAGCTCTGCTCTCTGTGTGGCAGCAGCAGCTGTTTCTGGTTTCCTCTGTAAGTTAAAATAAACTCATTACATGTTTTAATTGCATACCAAGAGTTCATAATGATAACATCATTGACAGATCATGTCAGATTAAACTCTGTATCTTTGTTGTAATAAAACTGGTTGGTTTCTCTGAAAGTCATTTTCACCTTGATGCTGTGTAAAATAATTGATTAGCAATATGACCAATGGGATACAAGTGATAAGGATTCTATTAATTTCAATTCAATATACCTTTATCCACAGTATATACACCTGAATAACCCTCAAGTATTCTGAATTCACCAGTTTTTAGTCTGTTAAGAACCAGCTTTACATCACCAAGTAGAGCTATCACTACTGCTAAGGTAGATTTTAAGCCAGAATACTAAAGGATTCCCTAAATGTATATAAAAATGGCTGTTTGTTTCCTCAGGGTGGCAGAATCGTGAAGCCAAGAGGAAGATTAAAGAGATGGAAGTTAAGCTCCAGAGAAACACCGGCTACATGCGATGCATTCATATTATATCGTTTCTCGATGCACAATATCAAAAAGAAAATCCATCAGAATACAAAGAAAAATTATTACTTGACAATTATGAAATCAAGAAAACGTTATTCCTGTTATCAAAGCTGGATAACTTGGAGGATCTGCTGGTGGAAAGGCAGCATCTCTACTGCAGCTACTTCACATCCAAGAACCGCCGGGAGATGCTGGAGAAGAAGATGAGGGAGAGCGGCTTAAATTATTTTGGGATACCAACAAATCAAGACCTAAATACGATCTTCAGTGGAGATCGTCACTGTGCTTCCTGTCTGTCGTACCTGTTGACTGGAGACAAACGAAAAAATGGAGCCCTGATGTGGAAGATGCTGGAAGAGTGGAGGAAGAGATTAAACGAAAATGTCAAACAAGATTCGATTAAAAAAGTGAGTATGAAGGTTCATCTCATCTGTGTGGCTTATACTTTATGAAAATTACAATGCATTAAATATTTTTTTTGTCTTTGTTTCCACAGATTTTAGAGGATGAAACTTTTCAGCGCTGATTAAGTCATGAAGAAGAAGTTCATCTTGCCAAAGCAGACGTCTACGTAATATATCAGGTTGCCAGGATCTCAAGAACCAAAGTTTTTATTATCTGAGTTAATGTTCAATTCTTCTTGCCTATAGAGGAACATTTTATAGCCACTTATTGACGGCTCAAAACCTCTAGTTCTGCTGTATTATTTACAATTTATTCCCTTCCTCTGTTTTTGCTCTTTGGTCAAACTTAGATATCTCAAATAATCAAACACAGTAAATACAAAAAGCACTGATGCTTTCATTAATTAGGAAGTTAGAGGCAACCAAAGCAACATGGTGTATGAAGTTAAACATTTTAATTCTTAGTAGTTTTTGATAGACTGGGCTTTTATGATTGACATTTATGACTGTGTGGTTTCTGTTTTCTACATTGCATATTTCTGTGCATTTTGTTTGGCTGTGGATTTTTAGTGAAAAATATCTGTGAAAGCCTGCTATATAAATAAACTTAAATATAAATTTAAATCTCTGAGTCTATTGTCCTCCTGATTTAACTTGGTAAACAAACACAGACTGCATTTGGTGCTTGCTGTATTTCAGAGAAAATAATAATTTAACCGTCTCCCAGATTAAATATAATCCCGCTCTAACCTGCCCTGCAGCAGAGGGGAGTGGCTGGTCGACAGTTAAAATCTGGGCGTTTGTTTTCCTTCTAAACCTTCATTTTAAAGAAGAACCACATGCTGCTGATCAGCTCCACTTTCAATTCAACAAAAGCTTCAAACGGTAAGGGTTTTAACTTAAAATGTGACGTTTTGTTGTTTATCAGCCAATTAAAGCAGTAAATAAATGCACAAAGAAAACAATGAACACTGTTAAAACGTGAACAGGCTCCCTGGGTGTCAAGCCTGTTACAAACTGATTCACCTGATCTTCATTAGTTCTCAGTAGGATGTTATTTAAACGCTTTATGAACTATTTTAAGTCAAAATGTCTCTTAGTAGAGAGAAATGAGTGGAAACCGCAACACTGAACCCGAAGAAGGAGGAAGAGGAAGTTGGCTTCCTGCTCTTTGTGTGGCTGCTGCAGGAGGAGCTGTTGGTCTTTATCTTTGTAAGTTACAGAAAACTGATTCCATTTTTTATTTTCATATCATGAAGAGGCCCATCATAATAAAACCACAGTGAGATTATTTTCAGATTAAACTCTGTATTTTCTGCTGTGAGGGATCCAACAATATAGAGGAGAAATTTATGAAAAGTTGAAGAAAAAAATCTGAAGTTTAGAGATCAATCTTAGAAATTTTTCTAGGAAAATCTCAGAAATTTCTTAGTTTCAAAAGTCAAATATTTTCAGCTTTTGACGCTCTGAAATGTCCAAGTTTTATCAATAATTTTTCTTAAATTTTTTGGTGGAAATTTATACTTTTTTTTGCAACAGCTCTTGAACATACAACATAGTACATATTAAAATATTGATTTAGATTTGTATTTACGCTGCATGAAGGTTTTATTTTAAATGCATTTTTGACATAAGCAGATATGTATGGCGGCACATTAGTTTAGTATAGTTTAGGTTAGTATTGGCCTATTTGTATTTTTACTAACAAGCAACTGAACAGGTTTTCACTTTTATTCATTTCATCTGTCTGCATAGACATGAAAGACCTTTAAGTATGGTGTCTGAATTCACAAGCTTTGTCTGTTAACAACCACTTTTAGATCAATAAGTTACAATTGTTTAAGTTACTTAGACCAGATAATTAAAACATACCCTACATTTGTTGAAATGTCTCTGTTTGCTTCTCCAGGGTGGCAAAAAAAAAGATTGAAGAGATGGAAGTAAAGCTCATGAGAAACAGTCTCTCCATCCACCGCAGTCAGGTTATTCCGTTTATTGAATTTTTTTCTACGTTTTCAAGTCCTCCAGAAGAGAAAAGAAATGCTGTTCGCAACGGTTATGCAAGCAGAGGAACACAGTTCCTTTTGTCAGAGCTGGACGACTTAGAGGATCTGCTGGTGGAAAGGCAGCGTTTCTACTGCAGCTACTTCACCAGGAAGTCTCGACTGGAGCTTATGGAGAGGAAAATAAAGGACAACGCCAATATTTTGATTTGGTACAATTTAATAAAAAATGAGGAGTTGGATAAAATCTTCCGTGAAGATCGTCACTGTGCTTCCTGTGTCTCGTACCTGTGGACTGGAGACAAAAGAAAAAATGGAAAACTGATGTGGGAGATGCTGGAAGGCTGGAGGAAAGCGGCAAAGGAAAATATCAAAGACAAGGACTTTAAAAAAGTGAGCATGAGTCAGAGTGGCTTAAACTTTACATGAGAATATCCTGCACTAAACGTTGTTAATTTCTTTGTTGTTTTTTTTTCACAGGTTTTTGAGGACAAAGAAAATTTCCGGTCTACTTTTCAGCGCTGATTAAATTTGGTCATGAGCAAACTTTACTCAGCAGGGGTTTCAGGAAATTTAAAACCAAATGTTGATAAATGTTTTTATTATTTAATGGGAGTTAATGTTCAATTCTGCTTGGTGTCAGAAGAGCCTTTACAGGGACATAATTATACAAACATTTCCAATCAAGAAAATTATAGACATCCTCTTCATGAGACTGTCTTGGGAAAACAGAGTGTCTTCAGTCAGAGGCTTCTTCAAATTCACTGCAACACAGACTGCTGCAGGAGGTCTTTCAGCTAACAGCCATCATCATCTACAATAACTCTTTGAAGAATTTAATCTAATGAGATACATTTATGTCATTTAATTTCCCTTTGAGATCAATGAAGTATTCTTGAATTTGAATTTTGAGTTTCTCTTTCGTTTCATCATCAGGAGCTGCGTTTCCATCACAAATGTGCACAAATCTTTGTTTATGTTCTGCGAATTTTGAGAAAACACAACTTTGCAATTGCCATTTCCATTAAGTAAGAAATTCTATTGAAATCTCGTCATGGCAGATTTGAGCACAATTGCTATGGAAATACAGCTAATGCTAGGTTTTATGCTAGTAGTTTTTTAATTACTGAAGTGGCTGTTTGCATTAGTGTTTTTGAGCATGAGTGATTGACAGCGTTAAGACCCGCCTCCTGGCTCTGATTGGTTATTTCTGCAGGTTATAGGGGGAACAAAGCGATAAGACAGATTATAATACATCGACATGACATAATGATAAATTTAACAATATAACAGCTGTTAACAGCCTAACTAAAAAACAAAGACAATGGTTAAGATTAAGATAGTTAAACAGGGTATGGTTTAAAATATGTATTAATAGCATACATGTAGGAATATAAATTTACATACTTGCCCTTTTGGAGACATTTTTCTAGTAGACAGCAAAAGCTACTGATCAGGTTTTGACTCTGCTCTGTCCAATGGGTGCGATGAGGTTCACCCTCTTGGTTTTGTTTACTTGCAAAAAGTCCAAAGTGAAAGTGAAAGCAAACCTCAATAAGCTAAATAAATAACATCCGCATTGGAACCGGACCAAGTAAGCAGTCCAAAGTGCTTTCCTGATGTGAATACACCCTTAAACATCAGATTGGATGGATAGGTAAGCAGTTAATCAGGAGAAGCTCATAACTACTGTAATTTGTCATTAATCATATGACTTGGCTGACATCTGCAGGTAAACGCTGCTCCATGTTATGAGGTGTTTATGGTTTTATGTCTTTCTGCATGCTGGAAACCTTGTTGTACTTTGGTAATAATAATAATTAAAAAAAAAACTTTAACCTTGTCTGTAAATTCCAGTAACGGGAAGAAACTGGTTTAAAGTCCTGCTCAGTGATACAGCTGATCAATAAACAGATGGTTGATGAAACCTGTTCCTCCACATATTCATCCTCCAGCATGATAGGCTCATTACTTTAAGGTGAAAGGAGTGGCTACACTGACCCAGGTCTACAGGAAGGTGTGTGTTTCGTCATTATTAAGCTGATCACAGTCAGACTGGACATCACCAACCGGATCATGTAAGTTGCCTAAAATGTAGATTTTCTTTTGAAAAGCAAAACTATGGCCGGTTAAACAAAGCTAATTTATTTCAGGTTCTATGTGAAATTTTGTCAAGACTATCAAATTACATTCATGTTTCTCGTTTTATTTCAAGTTTTTGAAAAATATGACTGAATATGATAACAAACTGAAGGAGTTTTTAGTCATTTCTAAGGTTGAATGAATCTTAATGTCTTTGGATTTCCACCCATCTATCCCTTATGTAAGTGAAAGTACACAAAAACAGAGCTTAGGTTATTTGACTTTATCCAATTCTTTTCTTTTCTCCACTAACAATTCATCTCTTAACAACTCGATGATTTTAATCTGTAAGGTAAATCTGGCGGTCCAGAGAACAGGTAACTCGTGTTTACATCAGACAGGACATGGTCTGATTGGTCAGGCTCCAGTGAAATGCTTCCTGTTAATGTCATTTCTCACCCAACCCATTTTCAGTCTGACTTCTTCTTTTTCATATAACTCAGCTGTATTTCAGAGCAGCCATGAGTGGCATCGGCAGCACCGAGCAGGATGGAGAGGGAACCGGAGGAAGAAGTTGGATCAGTACTTTCTGTTTTGCAACAGCAGGTGTCGCTGTGGCTGCTCTTTGTAAGTTACAGTCAAATCACAGCATTTAAGTTTAAAATTTACGATTCTCACTCACAAGAAAACGATGCCAGGACTATTTATATGATCGAAGGAAACTAAGTCAAACCCACCGAGAGTTTTGATTTGTCGTTCGTTAACGATTCATTCGATTCTTTTGAACGGCTCGGCCGTGAACGAGTCTGTAGGTGAGAACTGTTCTTCGCATTTAACGACTATGCTAACAATACTCTGCTCACACATCAACAACTATTGTTGTTTTTATTCAACTAAAAATGATTAAATTAATTAAATACAGTAGATAGATATTGATAGAAATGGTTGGATAATTTTACATTAATGTTGCAGAAGGTGATTTTTGTTTCTGTAAAAGCAACTCGTCTGTTTTTCTTTTGCTTCTAAATAATAAATAGCTGTAAATGTTATTAATGCACACAACACTTGGTAGTAAAGAAAAGTTTATTTTTTTATTTCCATGTTTGTCATCATTGGAAAGCCACACTTTCACAGTATGTAAATCATTCAAAACACCCTGACTGTTCATGGCTTTTCACATTTAACAAACGGCATGGATGAACAAAGAAAACAACAATAAGGGTGATTAATATTTTCATTTCACGTTGTTTACATTAAGATGTGTTATTGTTGGGCAATTTCAGCTGGTCTTTGACATTTGTTAAATAGGTTAAGTAATCTTCAGGCTGAAAAGTTTTGAGAAACAGACCAATTCTGTGGTATATTTTTTAAATGGTTCATAGTTTGTGAACTATTTCTTTTCTATTTTTTTTTTTTCTAAAAATGGTCTGGATATGTTTAAGCCGCTTTGTAACATTTGCCAAGGCGTCTTGCTGTTTTATATTTTTAAAGCTTTTTTCCCACTTTTCCCATGACTTAGACTGGAAAAATCTTGAAGCAAAGAGAGAGAAGAAAGAAATGGAGCTGAAGATCAAAAGAAACCTTGTCTATATTCAACGGAGTCAGTGGATCTCACTGAAAAGTGCTTTCGGTCTTTTTGAAATGCCACTAATGGAGAAAACGAAATCACTAAAAATGGAGCTCAGAGAAAGAACCGAATTGCTCAATTTATCGCAGCTGGATGAGTTGGAGGACATGTTGGTGGAAAGACAACATCTTTTCTGCAGCTACTTTACGCCAAGATCATGTCGGGAGCAGCTGGAGAACGAGATCATTAAGAAAGCTGGTAAAATACCAGCTTTCCACAAGAAGAATGTAAAGGCAAATCTGGAGAAGATCTTCAGAGAAGATCGCCATTGTGCTTCCTGTCTGTCATACCTCATGACCGGGGATAAAAGAAAGAATGGAAGAATGATGTGGAAGCAGCTGGCATACTGGAGGAGAGCAGTGAGGAAAGAAAAATACTTGAGTGAAAATTCCACTTATTGTTAGCCTACCAAAACTACATTACATTACAAACATTAGCATTTCATGGGTGTCTCAAAGATAGAAATCCTTCCCCAGCTTTCTG